GACTACTTTCTAAACTAGATATGGAAATTTTGAATATAATGTCATGCCTTTTGGACTCATAAATGCACCAACTACTTTTTAACATCAATAAATAATATCTTTAATGAGTTTCTTGATGACTTTGTTGTTTGTTATTTGGACAATATTTGAATCTATTCTAAGAACACAAAAGAACATGAAGTTTATATTAGTTGTGTATTACAAAAACTAAGAGATGCATGATTATATGCAAAGATGAAAAAGTGCATATTCTACACTACTCAAGTTGACTTTTTGGGATATATCATTTCTAATGAAGGCCTTATGATGGATCCAAAGAAGGTCCAAACTATCATAGATTAAAAGATTCTAAGAACAATAAAAGATGTGCAATGCTTTTTGAGCTTTGCGAATTATTACCAAATCTTTATCAAGAAATTTTGACAAGTTACAACTCTACATACACATTTGACTTATAAAAATAAACTTGAGTGGAATAAAGAAGTCGAAGCATTATTAATTGCTTCAAAGAAAGAATTTACTTTTGCACCAACTTTGTATTGTGTCAACTTTTTTAAGGCGTTCTTTATGGATACAAATGCATCAAAATTTGACTTGGATACAATATTATTACAAATGGGAATAGATAACAAACTCCATTATATAGATTTTTATTCTAAAAAATTTTTAGTAGCCAAGTTTAATTATGAGATCCACCACAAAGAATTTCTTACAATTACGGATTCATTTTAAGAATGGTATTATTATCTAGAAGGTGCTTCAAGTCTAGTTACAATATATAAAAATCACAAGAACCTTTAATATTTCATGTTGGCACATGTTTTGAATCATTGTAAAGGCCGTTGGAATATTTTATTATCAAGATTTGATTTCAAGATCATATATCAACTTGGAAAACAGCAAGGTTTATCAGATGCTCTTTCTAAATACTCTTATCTTACACCAAAAGAAGGAGCCGTATCTTTTGATCAACAATAAAAAAATCTTCTTAAAGCTAGAGCATTTTTATCTTTGAGCAATGAAATCAACATTTATTGTTGATTTGACTTTTGTTAAACAATTTCAATCATGTATGTTCTTTGAACCTCTTATTCATAATATCAAGAATTGTATTCAAAATATTCATAATATCAAGAATTCTATTCAAGTGAAGAAACAGCTAAGCTTTTCATTGACAATATCTATTGCTATCATGGATTGTCAAAGGATATTATATTAGATATGAGAACTCAATTTGTATCAAAATTTTAGAAAATCCTATTTAAGATTCTAAAGGTGGATATAAAACTCTCTTTGGCTTTTTATCCTTAAAATGATGGATAAACAAAATGGGTGAATCAAGTTCTTGAGCAGTATTTGAGGTATATCATGAATTATCATTAAGATGATTGTACAAATTTTTTGCCATTACCAGAGTTTGTATACAATAATTCAATATATTCTTCTACTCAACATATATCTTTCTTTGCCAATCATGGTTGTGATCTATAACTTCATACTTTTGACTTTTCAAAAGTCAATAATCTTATGGCAAAAGATTTAGCAAATTATTTGTCAAAGCTACATGTAACAATGAAAACACAATTAAAAGAAGCTCAAGAACGACAAAAGACCTACACAGATGCCTATTGCAAGGAGAAACTCCAATTCAATGTAGGCAACAAGGTATGGTTACTTCATCACAATATCAAGACTACTTGTCCTTGTGATAAGTTGGACTATTGTAGGCTGGGAATTTTTTTTATTTGTGAAGAAATCAATCTTAATGCTTATTGATTATATCTATCAGAATCTATGAAGATCCACCTTATATTTTACATGTTCTATCTTGAGCTATATAAGTTAGTAAATATCTTGGAAAGAAGATAATTGTCATTTCTTCTTATAGAAGTGGATAATAATCAAGAGTTTTAGGTAGAAGAAGTCTTAGATTCAAGGCGGCACCAAAATAGATTAAAATATCTTGTTCATTAGTATAGATATGATATTAATAAATATACAAGGAAACCAACAGAGAATCTCGCAAATGCAACAAAGAAGGTTGAAGCCTTTTATCAACAACATCTATGAAAATCAAGATAAAAAATTGTAAAGATCTATAAAAGATAATAATCGCTCCTTGTAGAATTTGTCCCTAAAAAGGAAGTTAATATCATGAACATATACATTTACTCCAATAGTTACTTATATGATTAAGTAGAAATAGAGAAATATAGATTAATTTCATAAAGTCTTATAGAGAAGCTTCATAGAAGCTTTATAGATGTATTTTTGACTTAAAATGTATTTGTAGGATAGAAACTTGGCTAACAAGTTAATCACATGTTTGTAGCTTATGGAATAAGTTAACTCCAAGTAATAGCTTATAGAACCAGCTAACTATGTAGTGCATACATAGATAACTTGCCTTGCAAGTTAAGACATGTGGCTAGCAAAGTCAATATATGTTGGAGGTCTTATAGAATATTGCGACGTAGCTCTTAGTTAGAGAGTATATATGGAGGTAAGAGTGAAGCCTTCTTCTCTCTTATCAATACCTTTCATGTCCTTAGTCTTATTTCAAGACTTTCTAGTCTTCTTGATTTTGGCAATAGCTATTCTAGTTCAATGTTATATCATCTTTGAGTGACTTTCTAATTCTTTTTAGTGACACAAGAGTGTATTGAGGATTTTCATTCTTCGACATTCATATCCTTGATAATTTTATGATTGAAGGAATTAAATAGATCTATTTCTTTTATACTTTATTTGAATGAATTTAAATATTATTATTTAAATTTTAGATGAGAAACAAGAAATGATTTAAAAAATATAATAAATTATTTTATAACCATTTTCAGAATTTTATGGTTTTTTTAAAGTAATAAGGTGTTCAATTTTTTATATTTAAATAATTATTAACTATAATCACTTAAGTATAAAAAATATTGATAAAAATAAATATAATTATATTTTTATTATAATTTTTAATATTCTTTTCTTATAAATATTTTTTATGTATATTTATTTTTTATATTTACTTCAAAAATATTAATTTTTTTTAAATAATTAATAATATTTAATTACATAATTTATGTATTTTTAATTTATAATTTAATTTTTAATTTATAATTGATAATTTATGTATTTATAATTTATTTATTACAATTAAAGTATCATATATACATATAAATTTATATACAAAAGATATCTCAGTTAAAAATGATTACACTCACTGGAAGATTTTTAATAATAGTCAAGATACTTTTTGAGGTATTAATGTGATTATAATCTTCATTTAAAAAAAATTGTTATTTTTGTTATATTTATTAATATACATTAAATACAATTGAATTTTTTTCTATTAAAAGATATTATACATGTATTTGATTTTCATGTGTACTTTGTCAAGTAACATCTCTAATTCAAAGAAGACATACATAACTCTACAATGATATTTAAGACTTGTAAAAAAACAAAAATTTCAAAAAATATACTACCTAACTTGGTCCATAATGTAATCTTGTATTTATTCAAAGTGTACGAATGCAATAGACATTACTTAAGAAAATGATTGATCTTTAAATAAAAAAACCAGTGATGTTGCAATAATTCTAACACAATTATCTATTTTCTTAAATAAAATATTTATATTTATATATAGAATAAAAAATCCCATTTTAATATTTAAAAATATGTTCTATATTTTATGGTTAATATGTATTTTTTAAATTCATATTGGATTACGATCTTTAAATCATTTAAAATTTAAAATATCGTTGTAAAACTATAAATATAAAAGTAAATTACATGATAGAATTTGAAATTAAATTGGTTATTGGAATAAAGAAGAAAAAGAAGGAAAAAAAGTAAAAAGTAACATTTTCACATTGCAAAGAATGTATGAAAAATTTATTGGCTACTATGTAATCATAAAACGTATTTATGTATTTTATAGGAAAATAAAATCTTAAAAAACGATTATAACACGAAATTTTTCATTCAACAAGACCAACATAAAACTGACTTTCTGATATAAATATGTTATGGATTCTTTTGATTATTATCATTTTAAAATAATATTATAAAATCTATTGTATGATTGCAGAATTGAAGTACAAGCACAAAGTAATTTTTATTTGTTCTAGTTCATTACTCATTACAATATAAAAATAAAATCCAAGAAAAAATTATCAAAAAAATAATAATTTAAAGAAAAATATTTATTCATATTATCATCTAACTCATTTTTAAAAGTCAATAACCCTCACACAATCCCCCCTTGCCAAACAAATCTGTCAAAACGCTAACACACGTCGGCACCCGGCTAGAAACGCTAGCGCGTGGCGAAGGTTTACGAGGAGCAGGGCGGGGGGCGATGACATGAGAAGGGAGGAAGGAAGGGAAGGAAGGAAGGGAGGACGGAAGGAAGGAAGGAAGGGAGGACGGAAGGGAGGACGGAAGGAAGGAAGGAAGGGAGGACGGAAGGAAGGGAGGACGGAAGGAAGGAAGGGAGGACGGAAGGAAGGGAGGACGGAAGGAAGGGAGGACGGAAGGAAGGGAGGACGGAAGGAAGGGAGGACGGAAGGAAGGAAGGGAGGACGGAAGGAAGGGAGGACGGAAGGAAGGGAGGACGGAAGGAAGGAAGGAAGGAAGGAAGGAAGGAAGGGAGGACGGAAGGAAGGAAGGAAGGAAGGAAGGGAGGAAGGACGGAAGGAAGGAAGGAAGGAAGGGAGGAAGGAAGGAAGGGAGGAAGGAAGGAAGGGAGGAAGGAAGGGAGGACGGAAGGAAGGGAGGACGGAAGGAAGGGAGGACGGAAGGAAGGAAGGAAGGAAGGAAGGGAGGACGGAAGGAAGGAAGGGAGGACGGAAGGAAGGGAGGACGGAAGGAAGGAAGGAAGGGTGCCTAGAGAGAGAGAGAGCGCGCAGGGGCGTCGCGGGTGATGGTAGTGGTGCAGTGGTGAGAGGCAGGGAGGGAGGGAAGGAGGGAGCGGGGGGGTTGGGGTTGGGCTAGGGCGAGGGCGATGGTGCAGCTGTGCCGTGCCTTATTTGGGCGGAGTGGCCCCACAGGGCGTGAGCGAGGCCTGCGAAAGGAAATCATGGCGTTGGGCTCGTCCGGAGCCACTTGACGGATCCGAAACGGTCTTTTGGGGGCAGTGGAACTAACCCATCTCTGGTTCCGTGGTTGGGTCTCAGCAGATTATCTGGGTTGTCTACATGGGTTGATGCGTGCTCCCCACTCGGCTGTGAGTGCTGTTGCGTGAGCGAGAGAGAGAGAGAGAGAGAGCAGGTGGGTTCGTAAGGACTTCGGAAGAGGTGTTGCAGATTGATGCTGCTGCATCAAGGTTACGACGCATTTTTCCAATGGCAGCCCAGCTGACACAGGGCGAAGACCCGTATGCTCTGCGCCCGGATTGCACCGATTCAGCACCGCCTCGCTTTCGTATCAAGGTATGTGTGGACGTGTGTGATTGGCGTGGCTTGGACCTGCAGTCGCGCTGGCTGAATCAACTTTCATTTGTATCGAGGGGAGGGCGTGGATTGTCGTCGCAAGTTCGTCATTCATTTTTTTTTCCCTTCTGTTTTACAGCTTCATGTGTGCATTCTGTGTTGAGTTCGGAAAGTTGGCCGTCACATTTGATTCAGATTGAAGTTTTTGGATTTTTTTGTCTTGTTCTGTCCAATACTTGCTCAGAAGTCTCTGATTTTGATTTCTCCTAAGGCTCAAGCGCATTCTGGTCTCGATCGTGTTCTCTTGGGTTTTTCTTTTCAACACAACCTGTTGTTAAAGCGTTTGACAAGCTTTGAGAGGAATTCTATCCTCGTCGGTAAGTGCCTGCATCAAGTAGCACTGGAGGGATAAAATTCATCAAGTTGTCTACATTTTCGATTATTGGTTCTCTTGAGATCAGGGTGGTCAAACGATTGTATTCCTCTCCCGTTCTATATTATCTGCAATGATGAATACGTAGCTCTTCGCAATATATAATTCACGTCAGTGCAACACAATCTCCAGATCGGTTATTCTTGACTTCACGCTCTCGCACTTCACCAAATTCTGCTAGAAGGTGATATCTAGATGTTTTTAAAATGCTTTGGAGCTATTCAACTGGTGGTTCGTTTCGAAAGCCATAGTTTGTCAATCCATGGCTTCTTTCGCTTTTGTTCCCTCTATGTTTGTGAAAAAAATGAGTGGCCGAGATCGAAGTCTGTCACTTCCATATCTCTACCTCGCGTATGATTTGGAGCGTTTCTAGAAAGATTTTCCGTGTGCAACATCATCATGCTTTCTCCTTTCACTTTTACAGCAGAACGTGTTCAACTGTCTTAGATTGAACGTGAACTCCTTGAAACATGTCAGAGACTTCTCGGCATAGTGTTTATGTAATGTTTCATCTTCTGCATTTTGTGACAGCCGGGAAAGACGCTAAGTTCGAGGGCATGGTACGGAGCTTTTAACGAGCAGGGCCAGCTGAACCTGGACAAGGTTCTGAAACGCATACGCAGAGGGGTGAGAATATTCACCTCTTGAAAGGCTATGGTTTCGATTTAGCTGTGTTTACCTGTTCTGATTTTCCATCTTCAGCTTGAATGAGAATCCTTACGTGGTTTCAGGGTTGAATTTTATGTAATCTTGTTCCCAGGGTGTTGATCCAGCAATTAGGGCAGAAGTCTGGGAGTTTCTATTGGGGTGCTTTGGTCCCAGCAGCACAGCACCAGAACGAGATGCGCTTCGAGCATCTCGCAGGTATTGGACTGTTTATTCTCTTTAGTAAATAGACACAACGTTCTTTCAGGGAATAGACATGCTTTATTAACTGATTCCTTATTTTCGTTTTATTTCAACTTACAGGATGGATGTAACCTAATACCGTAATTCCTGTAGCTACATGCACTAATTATTGCGTGCTGTGTTCCATTTTAGCTTTTCCCATTGTTGATTGGAGTATAGTACTTGTGCAGAGAGCAATATGCAAAACTCAAAGCCGAATGTCAAGTAATGGACAATTTGGTTGGAAGTGGGCAAATTGCAACTTCACCACGTATAAATGAAGATGGTAGTCCAGTGGAGGAATATAATAGTGGAGAAATTTCTGTTGCAGATGAAATCAGTCACCATCAAATTGGTAACATCCGATTCTTCAGAATTCAACTTTTGGCATATTTTTCCTAGGTTTATGTTACCCTCTATCCATGGTCATTAACTCACAATGAAGGATACTCATAATTGAACTGTGATGCATCTACAGAAGACATGAACAGAGGTTATCAACAAACTTCAAAGGCCTCTTCCGAAAAGCAGGATGCGAAGACAATACAGTGGAGATTAAATCTTCACCAGATTGGTTTGTGCAATCTTTCTCCTTTATAAGTTCAATCGTTTGCGCTTGGTTTCTGCAGAAGTCACAATCTGAAGTGTACACTGCCTGTACTGTCCTTCAGCGGTCCTCTTCTTGAGTATACTGCTTTCTATATAATTCCCTCCTCATCAGACCACATTGGAACCCAATTACACTTAAGATTTGTGCTGAATTCTCCTGGTTGCCTTTCACTGGATAGCCTTCTGAGCTTTAGAAGTTCTGCATCTGTCTAGGGTTGGATGTGGTCCGCACCGACAGGATGCTGCAATTTTATGCAAGTCAAGAGCACATGTCAAAGCTTTGGGACATCTTGGCTGTATACTGTTGGTTGGATCCTGCTATTGGTTACTGCCAAGGTGAAGTATGATCTCTGTACATATTTACGGAAGATTGAATATCGAAGTTTGACTAATGGCACACCGCTTCGTGTTTTTCTCCTCGACGGAGGTCATGATGCAGTGGGTCGCAGCATGACTTTTTTAATGTGGAATCCGTCATCTTCTTTGTCTATGACACTCTAGATTATTGGGAATGTCTACAATGTCTGCTTTCATCACGAAGTGTTTTGTCGATGCATGCAGGCATGAGCGATTTCTGTTCTCCCCTTGCTTTGATGTTCCAAGACGAAGCTGATGCATTCTGGTGCTTTGAGCGCATTGTGAGCCGTGTGGTATATCACCTTCGCCAAGCCTTTCAAAGTTTTCTTCTTCAATTACTACAGATTTTATTGCTACCCTCTTATGCTGACATGTTCTAATTCTCGAAGTAGACCGTGTATGAACACATGCGATTCGAGTACAACTAACTTGTGTGATGTTGGGTACAAAGCGCGACAATTTCAGTTGTACAGATAAAGAAGTTGGTGTTCAGAAACAACTAGGAGTGTTGGCAACATTATTGAAGGTTTTAGATCCCAAGCTTCACGAGCACATAGGTACATCACACCTCGTTTTTTTTTCTTTTTCTTTAGATTGGAGTTCGAATATTTGGTCGGTTCTGAGCCTGCTTCATGAAAGGTTTATCTACTTGTGAAAATTCCTGAGGTAACTTCAGATCTGTTTTTGAAAATGCTTTTACTAATGTACTAGAGTATCTAATATCGAATTGAATTGTAGTAGTGTCCTCGGGATTCTAGTGAATGTCAAAATTTCTATGATACATTTACATTGGTTGATGTCCTGGAAAGGAGTTTTTCCCAGTGACTTTGTTGTAGTATGTACTAGGATAAGTTGAATTATCCAGTTATGAGCTTACGTAGCTTAATCCGGTATCCTGTACTGTGTTCTTTGTGGCAGACTCAATAGGAGGAGGAAATTATATTTTTGCGTTTCGCATGATCATGGTGCTTTTTAGGCGAGAATTTTCTTTTGTCGACACCCTTTACCTTTGGGAGGTTGCTACAATACTTTCTTATACTAGTATATTTGTCTATTAGTGTACTAGTTCTTCTGTGTAGTTATTAACATGATAAGGGGCGTTGTCCTGGTCCTTCCTTTCTTCTTGGTATGAAAGTTCCCATGCCCTATAGTTAATCACGATCTTTCTTCTTAATTGCAGATGATGTGGGCCTTGGAGTATTCCCCCTCATCTATACAGGATGTGAGCGTGACAAGAACCTGGAGTCTCAGGCGCAGGTACAAAGGTCGAGGGAAGTACGAAGCACAAAACGAGAAATATGGGGCGTCCAGGATGCCTGGGGGAAAAGCGCCCTTATCTCTGTTCTGTGCAATTGCTATATTTGAAATGCAACGTAATCGACTTCTGAATGAGGCCCAAGGGCTAGACGAAGTCTTGAAAGTAACGTAGCAGAACCAGTCTTTTGTCAGGGCAGTACTTCTTGATTTCATAAGTATATGTTTTCATCCGTAGTCTACACCCTAGTTGTCCACAAACAGTTCCCGAATACCACCTGAGATTGCTGCTTTTCTTTGTTTCTGCTTGTGCAGTTGCTGAATGACGTCACTGGAAAGATAGACCCCAAGGAGGCTTGCAGATTGGCCTTGGATCTTCACAGTAAATATTTACGCACGGTTAGTGTGATTTGTTTAGTTTTTTCCTTGAATTTATCAAAAGGTAGTGTTTTTTTTTTGGTCTTTGTATTTACGGTCGGTATGCCTTTTCCTTCAATTGTGCCGTACCATCTGCTAAATCATTACCCACTGCATTTCCTGCTCCGTTATTATTGAAGTAGCTGCTGAGGATTAATGCTTCTTATTGATTATAGTTTGTGGCATGTTGATTCAGGTGCGAAGACAGTCAACTTGATTGGTTCTTTACGATGTGATGTGATCACGTCTTCATTTTAACATCATTCTTTGGTAGTAGGATAATCCAGTTGTAAACCAGGTTGCTACACTCGTAATGGGTTGTCATGTTTTGGCTCACTGCTATTTTGATAGTTTACTTGCAAGTTTGGAAATTTTAGGCTGTTATGTTTTCTATTTAGATGATTAGAAACGACAATTTGATGTACATTAGAATTTGGAATTCAAGCTGTCAGAATGGTTTTGATAGGCTCAACTGCAAGGATTTCACGCTTCTGAAGTTGTTAAGAGTCTTTTACTTGACAGGATTTGTTTTTTTAAAACTTGTTTTGGTTTAAATTTATAAGTCGTTACAAGTTGAGGTCCATTTCTGAACCTTTTTTGTGCACCATATCCATTTTTATCCGCCTCTTTATACGTTGATTTGCAGATTTTGTTTCAATGATTGAATGGAAGGCTGTTTGGTGAGCATGTCAGTATTTGAATTTGAGTTCTTTAAGTATTGTAAATAACCTCGGATAAAAAATGAGCTCAACTAATGTTTGGTGTTATTTGCAAAATTGATTTGCATGATAATTTATATGTTCAGCAATTGTGAATGGTGTAAGCAGTAAAAATTCTTGGTCTTTAGAGTTAGGAATTGCTACCATCTTGTTAAGAATCAAGGTGTGTAATTGAGATATTTTTTCAAAAGGTAAAAAAGAAGACAAAGTTGTAATCTAAGTTGAGAATTTTATAACATGCATGGTGTCATCTGACCTCCATAGTTTATTTATCGTAGTAAATAATCAATTACAATATTCATAATTAGTACTTTGACAAAAACCCTTCGCAAACTTTGCCCTTGTTTGTTGCACTGTACTTAAGGAATTGTATAAACAAATAATATATTTTTTTAATCATCTAGTTTAAATTTTTAAGAGAGTATAAATGAGAAATGTTGTGCCAATCGTAAGTAATATTATTGTGGGAACAATTTTTAAAAATTTGATTCTTGCTATCTACAATAATTAATTTGCTTCGTTTTTTATTTAGAAACTGTGTCTAAACCATAGCTAATAAACGTAAGTTGTTACCATTATTAGTAGATTATAGATTAAATAAGAAATTAGCAAGTAGACAAACTTAAATTTGGATCTCTCTAAATTGTCAAGTTAGATCAATATCTAATAAATATTTAGAAAGCAATATAAAGTGATAATTACATATTAAAATAAAGGGAAAATATCATACAAATCCCTGAAATATGTTGAAATATCAAGAAGAATACCCCTGTATTCTCGATAATAGCAATTCTATCCCTTTTGTGAGAATATCAAATCTACCCTTCAATCTGATAAGCTTTCAAAAACATTTCTTTTTAAAGTGAAACTAGGCCCAACCTTCTTGCCACGGAGAACTAGGTGGGCCCTCTTCCACACTTTTTGGCACAAACACATTTTTGGCAACTGAATGAATTCACGTGGGGTTGAAATGTTTTGCGTTGGCTCAGTTGTTAGAGGTGAGTCGCGGCTGACACTGCCCTCGTGCGACTGGATCAAAGTTAAAAACGAGTTAGATATGTCATTATCTGTTCAAAAGTTAGCCGATTAATATTCTCAGGGTCGATTCTTATCCACATTTAATCAATGTCCATTACTGAATAGATTGACCTCGCAAGTGATGGAGGAATCGAAGGAAGAGCAATGTTGCGGGGATCTCCGTCTAGAAATCAGTATCAGGTGAGTGTTGTATCCTTTAATCGAGTGATCGCCGTAAGCAAAAAGAAAAAAACGAAAAAGACGAAAAAGAGGGGGACTCATGAGAATCTTCGATTGTGTAATTTGTGTTGGACGTTACTCTCTTCTCCCATTCCTCGAACTCCAACTAACGACAATTGTTCGGTAGATGATACCTTTGGGAACCCGTTTCCTGATTATAACGTAAGAGTATATAATTCTCTTCCGTGCACCTTAATGATCGAACAATATGTTCCATTTCATCTCCTCTTTTAGTATCGTACATGGTATCAAAGCACTTATCTTGTAGTACACGTTTGTAGAGCAGATTAACTATCAGCAATGCTCCATCTTGTAGTGGTCTGTCCTCATTAGTTTCAGAAACAACTAATAGAGAGACCAGAGAGCCAGCACTAAGAACAATGAGCCACCAAGCTACTCCATCGCTCACAACCAACACAGTAGGCAATGTCTCGGTCAACCACGTAACGAGCCAAACCACGATATTAGGGGACAAGTCAATTTTTTCATCATTAAAACCAAGTAAGGGTACCAGAGTCACCTCCGCTGGAGAACAAGGGCACAATGTGTTGGGCATGGCAATGTTCAATTAAACTCCCTACCGAAGAAATTCACTAGATTTGTCATGTTTTCTACTTCCCTCGCATACAAAAAAAATTTGTTGTCCGTTGGCTATCTCACAGATAGGGATTTTTTATTTGAGTTTCGCAACCTCCAATGTTGCATCAAGGACTCCTTAGGGAACACCGTTGCTACAGCAACACGAGAGAAGCGGAACGATTTATATAGGCTCATCGGAGAAACCATCTCATGATGAAGCACTTAGCTGCTTGGCTGATACGTCACCTCTAGCCACACTCTGGCATAAGCGGCCAGGTCACTGCAATTACCAAGGGATGCGCAGAATGATTGAATCCAAAGCAATAAAAGGATTACCAAGCTTCCATGTGCCGAACTTCCCTTGCATTAGCTGTCTCACAGGAAAGCAGACCAAAAAAAAGATTCCAAAAATCTGCACAACCGCATCTACCAGGCCTCTTCAACTCGTCCACACTGACGTCACAGGCCCGTTTAGAATCAGATCTCTCGGTGGGGCCCAATATTTCCTTACTTTTATTGATGATTATTTGCAAAAAACTTGGATCTACTTCCTCCTATCCAAAGACATGTGCTTTGAAAAGTTCAGATTCTTTCACAGATTGGTTGAAAACAATGCCCAAAACCGCCTGAAATCGCTCAGATCCGACAATGGTAGGAAATTCAATTTCCACCGTTTCACCATCTATTGCCTGAGTCATGGAATCCGGCGGCTGTTGACCCAACCACACACCTCCTATCATAATGGAGTGGCGAAAAGGCGCAACCACAGCATCCTTGATATCGTCCGATGTATACTACATCATGTTGACATGCCTTCCACACTTTGGGCAGAAGCAGCAAAGGCGGCCTGCCTTCTGCTCAACATTTTCTCAACAAAGTCATGACCGAACAAGATACCTGACATTTACAAACTTCGAATCTTCAGGTCAACCGCCTATGTGCACAATACGGTGCCAGGCAGCAGTAAACTCGGTGACCGCTCTTGGCCTTGCCTCCACTTAAGCTTTGATGCACATGTCAAAGGTTACCAGTGCTACGACCCGGCTACAAACACGGTTCTCATGTCGAAGGACGTCCAGTTTTTAGAAAACCACAGACTGCACATCCCCGATCTCGTCTCGCAAACTACTTCTGTAGATAATAATGATATTACAGTCCAGACCAGCGGACCTCAACTTCATCCGACTCACCAGCCCACACTGCCCTCGTCATCAACGCCAAGTCTACTGTCGCCCTCTATTTCCGCTCTTCGAGATCGTACCCAGTCACCACTACCGCCATCATATCTACCCGAGCTTTCTTCACCTCCAAAGCCATCGGTTTCGGTAACTACCCCTACCGCTCCATCCTTTGTACACAGTTCAAGCCGGATCCGCGTCCTTCCACACTCCCACGATAGCTACATTTGCATCGATCTAGTTGACTCATTTATTGGTGTAATAGAAGAAGCTGGCGAACAACTTACTTACGCTCAAGCTCGGACCGATCCACGATGGATCTCGACCATGCAATTCGAACTACACTCTATCCAAAAAAATCACACATGGGATCTCATTCCTCTACCTCCGGGCATTCATTCGTCTTGTAACTAGGTCAGCCGCACGAAATGCTTGGCCAAGTTTCATGTGGACGTGGCTATCGCATTCTTAAACGACACCCTACACGTCGATGTCTTCATGACCCAGCCTCCTGGACGCGCAACTCCTGCCACTAACCACCTCGTATGCAAGCTGAACCGCTCACTCTACGGGCAAAAACAGTCCCCCTAGAGCGTGGTACAGCCGCATAGACTCCTACCTCCGAACGCATGGCATGTCTAGAACCACGGCCGACCCGAACGTGTATTACACCCGCACGAACACCTCCGCTGTCCTCCTCATCATCTACGTTGACAACCTCCTTATCACAGGTTCGAATCTTGCAATTATTTCTTCACTCAAGAAATTGCTTCATTCTTAATTCGAAATGGTCGACTTAGGCCTAATGCACAAATTTTTGGCAGTGCAATTCCTTCAGACCACCACCGAGATCTTTCTCCATCAAGCCGAGTATGCACAGTCTATCATCGATGACTACTCTCTTCCTCATATAACGGCCCATGTTCCGACCCCCAAACTTACCCGCCTTCAGAAGGATACAGCCACCCCCCTTCAGAAGGATACAGCAACCCGCCTTCAGAAGGATACGGCAAATTACACTACTTGACCAAGGTCCCTCCTGATATTACTCCTGAAGGTGTATTACACTACTTGACCAAGGTCCCTCCTGATATTACTCCTGAAGGTGTATTACACTACTTGACCAAGATCCCTCCTGATATTACTCCTGAAGGTGTATTACACTACTTGACCAAGGTCCCTCCTGATATTACTCCTGAAGGTGTATTACACTACTTGACCAAGGTCCCTCCTGATATTACTCCTGAAGGTGTATTACACTACTTGACCAAGATCCCTCTTGATATTACTCCTGAAGGTGTATTACACTACTTGACCAAGGTCCCTCCTGATAAAACTAGCACCACTATATCCCTTCACTACTGGTTCACAAGCATCCCAAGAAGTGAAGATCCCCCGGAAGACACCACTTTGCACAACATAGAACTTTGAATCAGTAGTGCGACCTTCCACAGTTGGAACACTATCCTCAGCAAACCTCGTCATTTTTCCACCTAGTAAACCCTCCATATGCTCCTGTGACACTGCCTCGAAACATCGCTCCAAGCAAGATCAAAGCCAAGCAAGAACATACTGGAGTAAGAAAAGAAAAGACCAAAAAATCAACAGCAACACCTAAAACTGCACCAACCACAGAAACAGTCAAATCCAAATCATTCCGAAAAACACGAGATAGCAAAAGAGTCAAAAGCCCCACTCACCGGGCTCAACTCTTTAATTCTCTGAAGCAAAACCATCGCAGGAAAACTGTAGGTGACTGGTAGAATGGTAATGAGAGTAGAACGGAGTGTTGGACGTTACTCTCTTCTCCCATTCATCGAACTTTAACTAACGACAACTGTTCAGTAGATGATACCCTTGTGAACCCGTTCCCTGATTGTAATGTAAGTGTATACAATATTCTTCCGTGCACCTTCAAGATCAATCAGTATGTACCATTTCATCTCCCCATTGGTATCGTATAGTTTGCCCCATCGACTTCCTCGTGCAGAATTTCACCGCCGTGACTACAGTTTGCAAATCCATCAATCTTAACCTGACGCAATGCTGTGACGCATTCGCGACTTTCACAACAATGCTGTGGAGAGCACATTTGAAAAGAAAAATTTGGGTTGGATGAAGTTGTACAAGAACTCCAAAGCTTCCAGATTTAGCTTCAGAATTGTGAACACAACTTGAAAGCCGCCTAGGCTGACAATAATCAGTACGCAGGATGTCGATAATAAAACTGAGGTTCCAAAAGATCTGGACGCGTCTGCCGCGAAGGCGGAGAGCACCCTTGGAAACATGGATCTACATAAGTAAAAAACACGACTGTGTTTGAGCTCAAAGAGTTGGATTCTCAGCTTGTGGCAACGAGGGTTGAGAAGGCTCAAAATCCAACGTCCAATTGAAGAATCAGAAAACGTAATACTCCGCCAACGACAATGTCTCCGTCGTCCAAAACAACAGCTTCAGCGGCCGTTACACTGTTCAGCTATTGAGAGCCGAAATCTTTATCGACTGGGATAACGACCAGGAGGACTAATGAAAACGATAGAAGGCGCATTGATGTCTCAAAAGAGTGTTTGAAGGTAGCACCGTGCACAAGATTATGACGGCAGATGCCACTGCAACGTTGTCATTTTTTTTGTCCCGTCGCATTTTTTTTCATAGAGCAGAGACTTGAAGAAGGTCGAGGAGTTAATCTGCATATTGCTCGAATTGGGGGTGACGTGTGATTGTTCCTGACGAATTTTACAAGCTTCTGTCTTGCCAGCTTGCAGGAATCAAGAGGCACACGTAGCTTTCTTTCTACAACCAAAATCACAAGGTTTCGGTAGCACGAACTCGCGTGTTCCTTCAGACTCGGAAGACTCTTCCACTCACAAGAAAGCAACACGGTCGAGGAAAGTTTTACAGTTACAATCTTCACCTCTGTCCCACACAAGTTTCGAGAGCTCAGAGAAAGATCATGAAATCGTGGAGGACCCAACTTTCACCAAGCAACGAGCATGGCATCAGGGTGAAGGTGGACAATCTTCACTGGGAGATACTTCAGGGTGTTTTCATGACACAGTTGGCCCAATGCCTGTTCAGCTTGTGGTCGATATGTCACCGAGGACCCCACCACGTTTGAATGTGCTTAGAATTGCGAAACGATGGAAGGGCATATGGCACAGGGCTCCTTTCCGTGCTTGATACACACACCTGGACAATATGTAAATAAGGAGTACACTAATATATCATTTAGGAGAAATTGACAAGGGTTCTTCAACGTGACAGGGCCCGTTATCAATACCTCATTGCAACTCTGTCTGTCAAAAAGGAAACCAGAAAGTCAAATCTAGTCTTCACCAACTATGATTGCTATCGCACTGCATTCTCAAGGGCCAAGAGCCAGAAATTCGACCGATGTGAAGCCTTGCTCCGAAGTGCTTTACGTGTGTACATCGAATCTGCGAGGAGCTCAAGAAAACGAGAGCCATGGGGTGTGGCGAGCAGGGGTCGAGACTCACACACCCAGTGTATCGAATTGTGTCCTGCTGATCTGATTCAACCCCACGTGAATTCATTCATTTGCCAAAATGTGTCTGTGCCTAAAAGTGCGGAAAAGAGCCCGCCTAGTTCTTCTCCGCAGCAAAGAGGTTGGGCCCAGTTTCAATTAAAAACGAAATGTTTTTGATACTCTCACAAAAGTAGATTTGATATTCTCACAGAAGGAAAGGGTAGAACTGCTGTTATCAAGGAGTATTCTTGATATTTCAATATATTTCAGAGATATGTATGATATTTGCCCAAAAATAAACTACAAGGAGATCTTTTTTGTTTCATATAATTCAATTTTATTTATTTATTTATTTAAAGAAATTTAGTCTTTAAACCTTAAAGATGTACCTTTAAACTAATTCAATTATTGCTTTAATAGAAGCATATGTAATACCAGAAAACTATGTCAATAAATGTTTTGATAAAAAGACATGAGTTTTTGTAAAGAATAATAAAAAAACAATCTTTTGTACAATAGAGATATAACATTAAGAAAAGTATTGGGTTACATTAATAAAATTAAAATACATATAATACTTAAATATGTAAGTATGTATATATATATATATATATATATATATATTTTATAGTATAAAGATATATCATGCCTATAACAAAAGAAACCATTGGTTGTGGTTTCTATTTTAATTTTTAAAGATATTTCTTATATGTCTTAATATTCATATATATGTCTTAATATATAATATTCATATATATATGTCTTAATATTCATATATGTATGTATATATATATATAAAAAAAATTCTTTTTGATAGAATTATCACTTATAAACACTTTACATATATGTTTTGTATTTAGAAAATGACTTATCAACAATCTGATTACTTTTTTTTATTTTTTATTTTTTTATTACTATGTCATTTATAATTATACTTTAAAAAAAACTATTTCAGATTATCATATAAAATTGATATTTCAATCATAAATTAATTTAGAACATATCATACTATCAAAATAATATCAATTTAAAAAATAATTACATTTAGTCATTAAGCTATTTTTTATCTACTAAAATTTTCAAACAAATTTAACATGGTACAATCTCTTGCATTATATGCAATAAACCTCATCTGATTATTAGAAAGATTGCATTATTAAAATTAATTTGTGATTCAATTTTTAAAATACACTATATGGGATTTGTGACACCTGAAAATAAAATTTTCAACTTGATTTAACTCTTTGAATTAAATGATTTTGTTAATAATTAGGATTTTGTGTGATATGCTATATTTTAAATTTTGATATTTAACTAATTTTATTTTTATTTTTCATCTTTGAATCTGTTTTGAAGCTGTAAAGATAATCTGGTTTAGATTGTAATTCTGTTAATTATAATAAAGTATAAAAGATAATCATTACAAAACATAAATTTACATCTTTAAATTTTATAATTTCTTGACAATTAATGTTATATATATATTTTTAAAATTCCTTATTACTTTTTGTTCCAATAATCTATATCGGTAAATATCATATTTGATATAATAAATAGAAATAATTTTTTTTTTTATTTATTATAGAAAAAAATTACATAATTAATAGTCAATTATTTTTAGTCTTTATAGTATTTCCACATATTTAGGTATTGTACTATATATATATATATATATATATATATATAAAATAAGTATTTTAAAATTTTATTTTAAATTAATAAATAGTATTATTACATTATTTATATTATTTTTATGCTTTTAAGCATACATTTTTATTAAATGTAATTGATTTAAACTTTTTGAATCATTTTGTGATGTATACATAATTAAATTAAGAATGTTATTTTAAGTTTATATTATGTATATTTAAATATAAAATTAAATCTATATTATTTTTTATTTTTTATAATACATATACAAATATTATATTTTTTGTAATATACATCAAGGGTAATTAAATCTTTATTTCATCTTATATACTTTCATATCAACCACTTTGAAATGACATCTTCTCACTTTACATTATATCATAAAATCAATGCTTCCAAAATATGGCTTTTCTTCACCAAGCAAAGAACCATCGGAACAATTTTATGGCCTTTCAAAGTAGACTTTTAGGTATAAATTGCTTCTTAATTTTGAAATTATTTTCAAATAGTATATATATAAGAGAATGCTAAATAGATCTATATTTTTACTAAATTTATTCACTTTATTATAACCATCATTAGAATCATGGCCTTGATCTCAATCTTTCTTATTTCTAATCTGTACTCCTTTTGTTCCTAGACTCCTCCTTCCCCTATATCCATGTAAGATCTCTTTATTTTCCATGTTTCCAACCCTCATCCCATCCCCCTCTATTTCCAACTTCTACTATGATTTTGAGAGTTCACCATGAATTTGAAGAAAAAATGATCAGAGAGGGAGAAAATGTATATTAAAGAAAAATATGTGCAATAAGCACAATTGGATTGGTGTGCATTTTTATCCATTTAAATCAAGAATAATGAGATTTTAAAAAGAACTAAAAAATATGTTTGCATTTTTCTTGCATAATAGAATAAAGAAGGTTAGTTTTGAGATATTGGGCACAATACTAGAACCAAATTTTACCATCAATGAGTGACAAATATTTTCCATTTTCCAGCATTAACATTCTAATTTGACCTCTATTGGCTCTATAACTATGCATGATAAGCATGAAGGAGATTATTTTTAAATTGTTGAAGCTACGAATAGTTTTAAAACTTATATTGATAATCTATACTTACTAACAAATATGCAATTGCATATGAAATTTTTATTATTGTGAAAAAAATTTAAAAAATTAAAACACCAAAGTTGAGTTTACATATGTTGCACATTTAGATAATATTTTAGTGAGTTGATATAGTTTGGAATTGAAGAAATTCAAATGAAGTTAAAAATAAAACAAAAACTCATATTGTAGTATAATTTATTATTTCTAATTGAAATTAGCAATTTCAAGAAGAATCCTATAAAGAAATTATGATTTAAACAAGAAAGGGAAATGATCACAATTGTAAAACCTACAAAATATACTCAATAGAAAAGTAAAGCTAAATATGAATAAATGATTTTCTTATTTGTTTAAATAATTATTAGTACAAATAAGATATATAACATCATAAGGGCATATATACATATTGTCATATGGTGTAATTTTCTATCTAGGAATACATTGAATACATAGTTTTAGAGAGTTAAACTTTAACTTATTGAACAAGTTCTAATAAGTGATATATTTTTATTATAAAAGCCAAATAAATACAATAGTATCAAAAGATATTCTACTAATATATATATATATATATATATATATATATATATTTAAGAAGCTTTATACATAAGGCTTTTTAAAGCATCTAAAAATGCTCTAACATCCTTTGTTATACCAAGTCATAACTAATTAACTGCTAATGAGTTTGATTTTTCATAAGCTCAAAGAAAATCCATAATCCTCTTACAAAAATTCATCTTTATATCATGAATTTTTCATAGCTCTACATCTCCATTATATATATATATATATATATATATATATATATAAACAAATATTTGCTTCAAAAAATTCCTTTACTT